ATAACATTAATATTTGCACTCATTGACAAAGATTCTTATGGTTTGGGTCGATTTTTTACAGTTTGATCAGCACAAATATATACACATAACAAATATAATGGATACTAACCTGATATGATGTTGAACGGGCTTCTCCTGGGGTCCTTTGGTAGGTCCGTGGGACTCACCGCCTCCGACCATGCTGCCAGGATGTCGACGCCGGGCCCGATCACGTCGGGCTTCAGGATCTCCGGCGTCACCATGTTCGGGCCCCTCGAGCTGAATGCCGCCACCACCGGCGCCGGCTTCACCTTCACCTCCGTTTCCCCGAATAAGCTCAGCACCGCCATCGGCTTCTTGTCCGTCTTCATGTACTTTTTTATCGCATCTCCCGACATCCGCCCCACCGCCACGGCTGGCAGAAGGTGGCTGTCGGCTAGAAGCTCCTCCCCACCGCTTTCCTTCGTGTTGGCCAGTATCATCCCCACGCCTCCGGCTGCTTTCACCACCGCCCCTTTCTGCGCTCGTCCAACCCCTCTGTCGCAGACCACCACCTTGCCATTCACTTGCGCGGCGTCAAGGGATCCCGGCAGGCACAGAATGCTCGACTTGTTGTTGCTTGTGCCGTAGACTAACTCTACCAACTTTTCCCCCATTCCTTTACCACTGTACAACGACACGCCCTTGAACTTGTGGTTGTTTCCTAGAGCCACATAAGCCGGGAAATCCCGATCGATTGTGCTGGCACCGACGGTCATAATCCACGGCGCGACGTTCGAGACCGTACTCTCGCCTGGGCCGGAGTTTCCGGCCGAGCACGAGACGAAGATCCCCTTTTCCATGGCCGCAAAAGCTCCGATGGCGACGGCATCGTGGGGGTAGGGCGTGGGTGGACCACCAAGGGACATGGAAAGGACGTCGACTCCGTCTTTAATCGCACTGTCAATGCCCGCGAGTATGTCTGACGACATACAACCCTCCGCCCCGCAGACTTTGTAGGCAGCGACCCTGGCTTGGGGAGCCATTCCACGAGCGTTGCCGCTAGCGTAGCCGAAGAGGCTGACGTTGGGAACAACGGCACCAGCGGCGGTGCTTGCCGTGTGCGTGCCGTGGCCTTCAAGGTCGCGGGCGGACATTGACTCGTTAGTTTTACCCACCGCCCTTCTGTATCCATCGGTGAAGGATCGAGCGCCGATTAGCTTCCGGTTGCAGAAGCCTTTCTCGCATGTTCCGCCCCACCGAGAGGGCACTTTCGGCATGCCGTCGTCTCTGAAGGACTTCGACTCCGGCCAGACGCCGGTGTCCAGGACTCCGATGATCACATCGTATGAGGCCTGATTCAGTCGCTGCAGAGTGTTGCCGGCCTGCTCCCCGGTCAGCCCCAGAAACTCCGGCGTGCGCGTGGTGTGGAGTTCGTACACCTTGTCCTCGGACACACTGACGACGGCATTCGACTGGCGCAGGGCATCGGCCTCCTCTGGGGAGAGGGCGGCAGCGAAGCCATGGAACGCGTCCTTGTAGGTGTAGATGATGTTTTCCGGTTTAGCGGCGGTGAGGGTTTGTAAGTGGTCGGCGTACCAATCGCTTTGGGTGTTGTAGGTGTTGGGCATGAGGTTTTTATCCATGTGTACGATGTAGACTTTATTGGTGGCCGCCTCAAGGACACAGGACTGAAGGAGAAAGGCGGCTGCGAAAAACCAGATGGCCGGCCCGAACAACGCCATTGCTGCAGGGGGATAAAGGTATCTAAATATATATTACTGCTTTTGTGTGTGTGTGTGTGGGGAGAAACTGAAGAGGCCAAAAAAAGGGCCGGTGAGGGGGTCAGGGGATAACAGAATGGTGGGGACGGTTGTCGGGGTTATAAACGTTGGTGGTTAAGTTATGAGGCTGGAAGTTGAGCTGTATTACGGTGATGCCACTGCCAACTTCAAACACTTTTTGTCCTCTTTTCTAGCCTTTTTGCCTAGTGTGAAAAATTCCAGCTCTTGCAAAGTTGCAACGCGGTAAGTTTTGGTTTGTAAGAGACTTTTTTGAGTGGTGATTGTTAACGTGATTAGCGGGATTGTAATCAAGTTAGTCAAGGGCACTGACACTTATGAGCTGAGGACTAGATTTCGGTGCGCGTGACACTTTCTCACTGTCTTATGACTAATTTTGGCTCCTTATTCAAAGGCGCGTGGCAGAATTCACCAACCCTTGCGTTGCGTCATCTAATATTAAAATAATGTAGAATAAAATTTTTATTAATAATACATTTAAAATTATTTTCACAAATATAGCATTAGCAGTTTAAATACTTCCACAAACACCAACCGTAAAAGTAAAAATTAGACAACATGGATTCAGAAATAACAAAAATATATAATTGTCTGTAAATAAAAAAAATACAGTATGTTTTTTTTTTCTTAAAATGTTTAAAATTAAATTCATACGCTTACAAAAATATGTGATAGAATATGAAAAAATTTATACGTCACTTTAATGATACTCATTCAAAACTTTTCATAAAATTGTCTACGTGATAACATAATTTTCACAGTTCCGAAAAATGAAATTAATATATATCGCATTACATATAGATAAATGAAATTAAATTTAGAAGATAATGTAAATTATATTAAATTAAATTATTAATATATAAACTTTTAATAAATTAAAATATTAAATTAAAGTATTAAGATATAAACTTATAATAAATAAAAATAATAAATTAAACTATATAAAACTAAATGAAAAAAAATAATTAAAATAACTTACTATATTAGACAAACACAAAATAATTAAAAAAATTATGATTGAAAATAAAAAATTACAATTATATTGTATGTATTTTATATTATTTTTATATTATATTATTGATTTTAATTTACATTATTCCATCCATATTATTTTGTTGCATTATTCATTTTATTTTATCTTAGTTAACAAGCTTTATTTATTTTGTTTAACTTAAGACAATGAAATAAAATTAAAATAAATTTTACTAAATAAAATTTAAAAATTAAAATTATTTATTTACAATTAAAATTATTTACTATTAAATTATAATTTATTTCAATTTTTTTTTTTCATTCATATTGTATGTAAGAGTAAATCATATTAAAATTATTTGATAAATAATATTTTTTATTATATTATATTATATTAATTTCAGTTCTTTATTTATTTAATTTGTTATTTTATAATAAGATATTTGATTTATTATTTATTTTACTTTATAATTTTTTTACATTATTATCTTATATAATTATTTTTTTTATTTTTCTTTAATTAGTTTATTTTAATTTTTTTTATTTATTTATTTAAATTTTGTATTTATTTTTCTCATTTAAAATTTATTTAATTATAAATTTATTTAATTTTAGTTCACGCTACTACATTAAATTTTATCTTACTTTATTTTAATTTAATTATTTTCATTATTTTTAGTTAATTTAATTTATTGGAAGTTATTAGTATTATTATTATTATTATTAATTATTTAATTTATAGTAAATTGACATATTATCCTTTTATTTTATTTATTTACTTATTTTTAAACTATTTAATTAATTTCAGTATGATGTATAGTATATTTATTTTCAATAGATTACACATCCATCCAATTGTCCTAGTGGTTGAGCGGTCATTCCCTTCCTTTCCAACCCAGGTTCGTATCTTGTTGCTCACATTTCATACCATTTAGGTTTTGCATATAATTCAAGGTGATGGGTCTACTTCTAGATCTGAAGTAAACCGGTAGTTGTGAGCTCAGATCTGCTTGAACTGCCTTGAAACCGTTGCTAGACCGCAAGAATACCTGCAAAAACTCAACGCCGGAGGTGTTTCCGGCGTAGAACCTCCGACGCTCAAGTCAGTATGAGAGGGATGAAGAGAGGCTGCGCAGCAGCTATGGGGGAAGTGGGAATGAATGAGAGTTAGGGTTTTAGGGTTACCTCACCTCCTTTATATAGGAGTGAATATTTACCTGAAGTACCCAGAATGCCCTAGTCGGTGGACCTGGAAGGTCCAAAATGCCCCTGTCGATTCGTCTACCCTTGTTGCTGAGTCATCAACAGATTCTTTCTTATCCTTCATAATATGTGGAACTTCAAGTATGTTGCAAGTGTGATGAGTCGTCATCACATCTTTGCTAGTCGAGGTATGCGAGGTCGACTTCGAGAGCTAGGAGGTCGACTCGTGGATATGTGTGGATTCGGAGGCTACGCTTGACTAATCCTTTGTGGTGAGGTCGTCTTGGTTCAGTCGACTGTTGGAAGTCGACTTAGGGTATCGGGATGCTTGGGCGCTGTACTCTTGCTGTTACTCTTTCATTGGTGCCGACTAATGAAAGTCGATGGATTAATGTCGACTTGCGAGAGTCGACTAGACCAATTTCTGCTTCTTCTTGATTGCTCTTAGCAGAACCGACCTTAGGGAAGTCGGTTTGGGCATGTCGACGGAGTCGTGTCGACTGCGGGTAGTTTAAGTGGTTCACTGGTTGAGCAAGGAGCTTCTGGACCGGGTTATCCTTATGTGGCTATATCATCTAGTCCCCCCCCAAAAATTACTCTAAGCAGTCGACTGCTTAAGAGTAAATTTGGTGGTATAATTGTGTCGCCTTCCTATCAATCTCGCTCGTGTTAGCCTCTTTTGTTTGCAACTCGTCTCGTCAATTAATTAAGATGCACCTCAAACTCATGATTGTCTTTTCGGATAGGTCTGACACTCTGACAAGCCCATTTCAAATTTTGAATTTCGAAACCCTAGAATGACGCGCGTCATCTCCATCGCCAACTCCTCGCATTCCGTGCTTCATCAGGGCCGTTGGTTCCCTCATTGATCCAACGATCAGCATCAGTTCTCTCCGCCTATAAATACGTTTCCTTCCCTCAAGAGGCCATTTTTCGCAATCTTGAACTTCCTACTCTCTCAGATTTCTTCAAGCACCTCCGGCGACTTTCGTACTTCGGCTTCCCCGACAATCTCCACTTCCGGCAACTTTAAGTTCGTTCAAGGCTTCATGCTACTAAACCACCATGTGTAAGTTCGTTATCTCCTTTACTTTTCGCGTTTTTGTTGGGTTTTTTTTCAATTTTTTCTGGGTTCTGGGAATTTTCGTGTGTTCTTCGTGTTCTTCACGGATTTCTCATGGGTTCTGCGTTGGATCCCTTTACGCGCATATTCTATTAGGACATAATGTTTTTCGCCAGTCGTCGGCTGCTGATGAGCAGTCGACTGTCACCTGTCGCTGAGTTGGCTATTGTTGACTTAATGGCCTTCTTTCTTCAGTTTCTTCTTTTCGAGTCGACTAAGGTCGACTTATTAGTTTATTTAGGTCGAGATACCGATAGCGATTGCCCCTTCTTTGTCCTTTCTTCCTTTGTTGATTATTGCGAGTCGCCTTGTTTCGATCTTGTAGACCCTTACTCGTGATTTTACTAACTTCGACCTTCTCCTCCTTTTTCTTTCTTTAGCTTCCGACTCGTCACCTCTCTCTGGCTCCCTCGGTCAGCAGATCAATGATTATACTTGTCAAGCCGACGAGGGTTCTAGCTCTGATTGTGTCGAGGTAACCGGCTATAGGATGGTTTCACTGCCTTCTCATTCTCCTCCTCCTCTCGCCACTGCTTCTTCTACCGACTGGGAGCTGTACGACCAAGCGCTCTTGGAGGGCGGCTTAGTCGACATCGTGAAAAGCCCTCCTCGAGGAAATCTTCCTCGTCTCGACATTATTCCTCGAGGTATTCCCCTTAGGTTCTTAGATATCCCTGTATATAGAACGAGCCCTGTATCTGTACCAATAATTGTTCCTCTTCTCGACTCTCAAAATGTTGTATCGGTAGCTTGTCCCTTGGCTAGGTTAGCTGTTCTAAATCCGTTTTGTTATGCCTCTGCAGCCGAAGTCGAGGGCTTCAGAAAGTTCAGTGGGCTTCCCTCAGATTGGGAGTTAGTCGCCCCCGGTCCTAACGACGATTTTGCTCATCCTCTCCCCGGCTGTCATACATTCTTTGTAGATCAAATCGTCTTTGGCCTTTGCATTCCTATCCAAGACGAGCTCATATTAATAAGCAACTTGTACAATATACCAATAAATCAATTTTCTCCTAACGCCATTCGCATTATGATAGCCTTCATAGTCGTTTCCCGAATAACACTCAATTTCTTTTCTCCCGACTTTTTCTTTTATTGCTATGGTTATCGGCTTTCCAAGGGCGCCCATCGTTTGGGTCGCCGTGCTGGTGTTACTTTCTTAGACGACCTCTCGTCGAATGTCACCGAATGGAAGTCGAAGTTTGTTTTCATTCGGCCCGCTCCCAACATGTATCCCTATGTAAATACTTGGATCACTTCCAAAGTAAAGCAGAACAAACGGCCTCGATCCGACGAGTTTGCCCGACTATTGTCCGAGTTGAATAAGCACACTTACAGTGCCCGTCAGTTAATCAAGGACCGTGATCTAGTCAATCACGCTCGAATCGTCATCTATGAGGATCTTCCTCGTCTCGACGATCCCCGTAAGCTTTTGGGATATACGTTTGTTGTGTAGTTACTTATAAATCTGGCTTATTCGTCTCGTGACTGCTAAATATTCCTTGCATGCTAACTTCTTCTCCTCTTTTGTCAGTTAAAGCGCTCAAACGTTTCGAGCTCAAGAAGGGCCAGTCGTCTGGCCAGCCGGCTGGTGGTCCTGTCCCTCCGCCTCGACCCTCAGGCGGCTCTGGGTCGAGGCCCGGTGCTGTAGCCGCCGAGGCGATTGCTGCTAAAAAATTCAGGGTCGAGAACTCTGGTTCCTCACAACCTAAATCGTCGGGCCCTTCCTCTCGCAAGAGGGCCCAGGACGATCGGGCCGCCATCCTCATTCCCGACGACCTTAAGCGCCGCAAGGTCGACAAGGGGAAGGGGAAGGCGGTCGAGAAGAAAGCCCCTT